ACAATCCGGCGGACCCTCCTCTCCAGAACCCCCGAATAGACCTTACCAGGGAGACTGAGGATTGTGATCCCCCTATAGTTGGAGCACACCATCTGGTCCCCCTTCTTAAAGAGGGGGACCACCACCCCGGTGTGCCAGTCCAGAGGCACTGCCCCCGATGTCCATGCGATGCTGCAGATGCATGTCAACCAGGACAGCCCCACAGCATCCAGAGCCTTAAGGAACTCCGGGCGGATCTCATCCACGCCCGGGGCTCGGCCACCAAGGAGCTTTTTAACCACCTCAGCGACCTCCGCCCCCGAGATAGGGGAGTCCACACCCAAGTCCCCATACTCTGCTTCCACATTGGAAGGCGTGTCGGTGGGATTGAAGAGGTCTTCGAAGTACTCCTTCCACCGACCCAAAATGTCCCGGGTTGAGGTCAGCAGCACCCCATCCCCACCATAAACAGTGTTGATGTTGCACCGCTTTCCCGCCCGGAGCCGCCAGATGGTGGACCAGAATCGCCTCGAAGCCGTCCGGAAGTCGTTTTCCATAGCCTAACCAAACTCCTCCCAAACCCGAGTTTTTGCCTCAGCGACCGCCGAAGCTGCATCCCGCTTGGCCTGCTGGTACCTGTCAGCTGCCTCTGGAGTCCCACAGGCTAAAAAAAGGCCCGATAGGACTCCTTCTTCAGCTTGACGGCTTGCCTCACCACTGGTGTCCACCAGCGGGTTCGCGGATTGCCGCCACGACAGGCATCGACCACCTTACGTCCACAGCTCCGATCAGCCGCCTCCACAATGGAGGCGCAGTACATGGCCCACTCGGACTCAATGTCCCCCACCTCCCCCGGGACATGGGAGAAGTTCTGCCGGAGGTAGGAGTTGAAACTCCTCTTGAAAGGGGATTCCGCCAGATGTTCCCAGCAGATACTATACGCACTATACGCTTGGGCCTGCCAGGCCTGGCCGGCTTCCTCCCCCACCAGCGAAGCCAACCCACCACCAGGTAGTGATCAGTTGACAGCTCCGCCCCTCTCTTCACCCGAGTGTCCAAGACATGCGGCCGCAAGTCCGATGACACGACTACAAAGTCGATCATCGAACTGCGGCCTAGGGTGTCCTGGTGCCAAGTGCACATATGAACACCCTTATGCCTGAACATGGTGTTCATTATGGACAATCCGTGACGAGCACAGAAGTCCAACAACAGAACACCACTCGGGTTCAGGTCGGGGGGGCCGTTCCTCCCAATCACGCCACTCCAGGTCTGACTGTCACTGCCCACGTGAGCATTGAAGTCCCCCAGCAGAACAATAGAGTCCCCAGAATGAGTGCTCTCCAACACCCCTTCCAGGGACTCTAAAAAGGGTAATAAGCGCAAACAACAGTCATAACCCCCACCCGAAGGCAAAGGGAGGCTACCCTCTCGTCCACTGCAGTAAACCCCAATGTACAGGCGCCCAGCCAGGGGGCATACAGTAAGTACGCCCACCCCCGCTCGCCGCCTCTCCCCGCAGGCAACTCCAGAGTGGAAGAGGGTCCAACCCCCTTCGAGGAGACTGGTTCCAGAGCCCAAGCCGTGCGTCGAGGTGAGCCCGACTATGTCTAGCCGGAACTTCACAACCTCGCGCACCAGCTCAGGCTCCTTCCCCATCAGAGATGTGACATTCCATGTCCCAAGAGCTAGCTTCTGCAGCCAAGGATCAGACCGCCAAGGTCCCCGCCTTTGGCCACTGCCCAGCTCACAACGCACCCGACCCCTATGGCCCTTCCTATGGGTGGTGAGCCCACTGGAGGGGGGACCCACGTGCCTTGTTCGGGCTGTGCCCGACCAGGCCCCATGGGTATAGGCCTGGCCACTAGGCGCTCGCCATCGAGCCCCAGGCCTGGCTCCAGGGGTGGGCCCCGGTGACCCGCGTCCGGGCAAGGGAAAACGTGTTTCCATATTGTTTTTCTTCATAAGGGGTCTTTTGAGCCGCACTTCGTCTGGTTCCTCACCCAGGACCTGTTTGCCTTGGGTGACCCTAGCAGGGGCATTAAGCCCCGGGCAACGTAGCTCCTTGGATCACTGCAACACGCAAACCCCTCCACCACGATAAGGTGTCGGCTCCAAACTATTCCTGAACAATTTTTGCAGTGTGGCAAGGTACATTATCCCGTTGAAACAGGCCACTGCCATTGGGAAATACTATTGCCATGAAGCGGTCCTTGATCTGCAGCAGTGTTAAGGTAGGTGGTAGGTGGCAAAGTCACATCCGCATTAATGAATGCCAGGACCCAAGGTTTCCCAGCAGAATGCCAGAGCATCCCACTGCCTCCATAGTGCATCCTGGTGCCATTTCTTCCCCAGGTAGGTAACACATACGCACCCATAGGGTGACAAGATAATTCATGTCAGGGAGGACACTTTGAGTTACTTCAAGTTTTATCAACTTTCGTATTAACATTAGTGACACATGCATGATTATATGAGACGGACCAATCAGCGCACAGCAAGAACTCAGTGCTTAAGGTCCTTTTAACTGAAATAGTAGTTTACAAATCCTGTTCAAGCTCAATGTGTCCTCCTTGATATGAATTGTCTGGTTACCCAACGCACTCGGCTGTCCACATGATGCAACATATTTTTGTGCTTAGCTTGCATAGAGTAATCTTCTCAGGTACTCCACCTCCTATCAAGCATAATCCATCTTCCTCCTGTATTCTTGTCCCATTTGTTACCTCTCATCAAATCTATACTCTTCATGTTCAGTGTTTTATCATGTTTTCAAATGAGGTCATTCAGAAGGTATTGATTTGCTAAAGCATGCAGAGTATTGTACTTATTTATCTTTACCCATATATTTAACCCAAAAACATTAGAAAATATTTCTGGGGCATTTATGTTTAGGGACCTCCTAAAACTTTGATCTTTATAGTTAAAACTTAAAAGTTAAAAAGTTAAAATTAGATTTTCATGGGTATCAGTGTTAATTTGCTACCCATCCATCTCTAATCTTGATAATCTCATCATTATTTTCTAAAGAGGAAAGAGGAAGACATTCATTAGCAAATAATGTAGGGTAGGGGTCTATAGAACTAGGGTCTCATAATGCAATGACACCCACTGAATGTTCTATGGTTGGAGTACATCAGGCTCACATCAATGGCAGCAACCACACCTATATAAACAACTCTTTGATTGAGCACAAAAATAATCTATTTTGATTATGAAATAGTAAATACCTTTCAGTTTCATTTACTTCAACTCCCCTCAAACAAAACCACATAAATACTCAATCACATCATAATACATAGTTTGCCATTAGTTTATTGAAATATTTTATTGCATACTAATGAAATAATAATGAAAGTCATATTGCTTCTTTAGTGTAACACGGATCAAAAAAAACCTTTAAAATAAATATAATACATACGGTGTTCTGGTGTTCCTGTAGCCTCACATTAAACTCTAGCATTTCACAAGGGGATTTTGATTTGCAAAACACTGTGTACAACTACTTTCATTACACACACAGAAATGATTCCTACAGTTAGAATCTGAAATTGCCATTTTGAAAAGTTAGTTTTCACTATATTCATGGGGTGAATGAAGTGAATACTAAAACGTCATAAGATTAAATTATTTTTAATTAATAACCACATATCTCAAGACAGTACATACACATGCAGACCTAGTTTGCTTTAAAGAGTGCAAAACCGATTATCTCAATTTCCCATAGCAGAAGTTTATAACAGTATAAGAGCCGTTTCCAAAACATTCATGTTTTTATCTTGTAACAACATGATTGCATTGTTTATTGCTAGCTTTCACATATTCAAAAATATACTTTCAGGCAAATTTAAAAAAAAAACTTTCAAAATATACTAGATCCACTTACACATGTTATTGCTGCTTCAGTACAAAACACATGCAGCTATTAATGTAGTTACAACTGGAGTAAGCAATCATTGTTATGGTTGAAACCTACAACCTATGCTGTGTACAAATTACTCTAAAATGTTTCGACTGAGCCAAATATTAATAGCTGCATGAAAGATTTACCAACAATATAATACATCTACCTACCTATTTGGCATAAATAACATTTCAGTATAACAAGTTTCAAAAATGGCAATATATTATAAAGTCAGACTTTCTGAGGCAGTTCCATTAAACAGAATACTCGCTAACTGTTCTTTGATGCCTTTTAAAGCATGTTCCTCCCAAGTCTTGAGGTCAGAGGTTAAATGCAGCAGGGTCCAGTTAAATAGATTAGAAAAAATGTTTTGTATCCATGCCAGCATTAATGAAGCATGTATTTGTCACACCTGACAAATTATGGGAAGAAATCAGTTTCCTCACCCAGATTAAAATGAGCGCGTCCCCACATAATGATTCGCAAGTGAGCAAACTGGAATAATCCTCTGCCTCGTTTGTTCAACAAATCCTTGGAACATTTATTGGATTTTACTCCACTAAGATAATCTTTGTATTAATAACCTTTTGGAGTAAAGGCAATTTTACCAAGAGCCCTTATGACAATATTTCTATTAAACATTTCAATATTACATTTACCACATGAAGCTGTTAACTCAGCATAAAGCACAGCATTACAAAAAAAATATGTTATATATTATACAACATATAATCACATGAATCCAAAAACTAATCTGGGAAGTAGTGGCAGAAAACAGAATAATGCTTATTGGGAGCTTACTGAAACAATAAGGTCCATGCTGAAGCTTCACTTGCATATAATAGTCCTGCTTTTGCATTGTGTTACCAAAGCTAACTTGTCCAAAGATCAATGCTAATATGTTTTGTAATACCAATGATGTGGTCAAAGTTACATATTCATTGCAATTTTTTTTAATCATTTCACATTTGCTTGGGTGTGTCTAAATAACTATTATGCAATGTGCATTATGATCACTAAGCAATTTTTCACTACCTATTGTATTGATGCTGTTAAGTAATGTCGACACTATAGATGTATATCTGTCAATAATTGTCTGTCAACAGTTGGTACTGTGAATGTATTGCTGTTTTGCCTCTTTCACCATATATGTTGCTCTGAATTAATAAAATGTGCATCTAAAAATTAAATATATCCTGAATTTTGACAGGTCAATCACACAGTTCAGGTAGAAATGTGAGCTCACCTATTTGGACATGTGTTTCTAGCTTAGTTTAAAGAACATTAAAACAGTGTAATATAATGAACAAAAGCACTAAACCTGTAAGAATGATGGCACTTTCGCTATTGGCAAATTTGAGTTTCACACATCACTCTATGCTTTTAAACAGTTCTAAAAGCATTTTAAATTCTAAAAACATTCCTTTTGGTTGTACACATTTTCATTAAAAAATTATGACTACCCATTTTTGAAACAGTTCATACTATAAGTAAATAACTGAATCCCAGTACCTGTTCATCATTGTTAATTTTAACACTGATGTTATAGCTTTTATATGCATAAATAACTGACAGTGCTGATGTTAACTGTAACGCTAATTCAAACATACTGCAAAGCACTTTAGTAAATCAATATTTCTGTGAAAACTATACCAAAACCGAAAAAAATAAAAGAATCGAAAATTATGAGTGTAATTCTACAGGCTGTGTCAGGGCTCTCTTCCCTCATGGTAAAATATCACTTCTGGTTGGGATGATCCGAGCCACCTCTCCCCGCTTACCAGCATTGTATATAGTGGCCAATAGATGGCATTCTACCTGATCTACTTATCAATCAGCTTTACTAGGCTTTGCCGTAAGTCATTCAAATCAAAGATCTTGACATCCAAGATGTCAATGACCCTTTGCATCTCACTTTCAGTCCGGTCCCTGTCCTCAAGGGAGGAGGCTAGAGTTTGCTCAGCATTCTGCACCCGCCGCTCCAGCTCTATGTTCCGCATCTCCATCTCCTGAAAACCATGAGAAGCGACAAGGTCATTGGTGGTGTTTATCAATTGCTTACTGTTGTTTCAGCTTACAAATAGTACTTTTCACCTGTTTTGTGTCCAGTACATATAATACAGATTATATCAATAATACAAATGTACACTGCTCAGAAATCTTGAAGGAACACCTTGAAAACACAAATCAGATCTCAATTGGAAAAAAAAAATCATGATGGATATCTATACTGATATGGTTTTGTAATGTGTTAGGAACAAAAGGATGCCACAACGTTTGATGGAAAAGATAATTATCAACCTACAGAGAAAAAATGATGTAGCAGGTTAGTCCATTTTGCTGAAATTTCATTGCAGCAACTCAAAATTGTACTCAGTAGTTTGTATGGCCCCCTCGTGCCTGTATGCATACCTGACAATGTCAGGGCATCTCCTAATGAGACGATGGATGGTGTCCTTGGGGATCTCCTCCCAGATCTAGACCAGGGCATCACTGAGCTCCTGGACAGTCTGAGGTGCAATCTGGTAGCGTTGGATGGACTGTAACATAATGTCCCAGAGGTACTCTATTGGATTTAGGTCAGGTGAGCGTGGGGGGCAGTCAATGGCATCCTCCAGGAACTGCCTGCATACTCTTGCCACATGAAGCCGGGCATTGTTGTGCACCAGGGGGAACCCAGGACCCACTGTACCAGCATTGGGTCTGACAATGGGTCCAAGGATTTCATCCCGATACCTAATGGCAGTCAAGGTGCTGTTGTCTAGCCTGTAGAGGTCTGTGGGTCCCTCCATAGATATGCCTCCCCACCAAACCGATCATGCTGAACAATATTACAGGCAGCATAACATTCTCCATGGCTTCTCCAGACCCTTTCACGTCTGTCACATGTGCTCAGGGTGAACCTGCTCTTATCTGTGAAAAGCATAGGGCACTAGTGGTGGACCTGTCAATTCTGGTATTCTATAGCAAATGCCAGTCAAGCTCCATGGTGCTGGGCAGTGAGCACAGGGCCCACTAGAAGATGTTGGGCACTCAGGCCACCCTCATGAAGTCTGTGTCTGATTGTTTGGTCAGAGACATTCACACCAGTGGCCTGCTGGAGGTCATTTTGTAGGCCTATGGCAGTGCTCATCCTGTTCCTCTTTGCATAAAGGAGCAGATACCGGTGTCTCCTGGTGGGTTAAGGAACTTCTACGGCCCTGTCCAGCTCTCCTAGAGTAACTGCTTGTCTCCTGGAGTCTGGAATCAATGCTTTTGAGACTGTGCTGGGAGACACAGCAAACCTTCTGGCAATGGCACGTATTGATGTGCCATTCTGGAGGAGTTGGATTACCTGTGCAATCTCTGCACGGTCCAGGTATCGCCTCCTGCTACCTGTAGTGACACTGACTGTAGCAAAACTAGTTAAAAAAAAACTGTTAAATCATTCCTGTTTTGGGGGTCGTCTCATTGTTGCCCCTCTAATGCATCCATCCATCCATCAATTTTCTCCCGCTTATCCGAGGTCGGGTCGCGGGGGCAGCAGTCTCAGCAGGGAAACCCAGACTTCCCTCTCCC